GACAAGCATGGTGTCAACGCCACAACAATAATGATAACAATAATTGGGGGCAAGTGGTTATATAAACCATAACCACGAAAATGGCTCACATAGGCCACGTTAGGTTACCAAGATGGGGACTTCTGCATTATTGGAAACGATGGTTACAGACACTGACTGATATGGCTGTGTCGCAAAAACAGTGGTGTTTGTGCATCTTCTCAATTTCACTGCAATCATAGTCTACTGAATATCAACATTTTCTCTTCGATTCTACTTTCAACCTTCCTGTCTTTCCTGTACTGCTTCATTCAAATTGGCAGCCAAAAGACAGCAACCAAAACCAGTGTACGAAGGTGCATGGCTAATGGTTGTATCAACTGAAACACTGAACACTTTCTCTCCCCTTCAACCCACTTCACTCTTGCTTCACGCCGGTGAACGTGTATGGCCGTGCGACACTTTATCGATCATCGTGCTCAGGGTTTAGGAANATCGAGGCGAGACATATACGCGCCACGTCACGGTCATATGGATCCGTTTGCACGAACTTCCATCCTGATAGGCAGTTGATTCAGTCAAACCCCCAGTAAATCAGACATTTCAGAGCTAGCATGAAGGACATCATATGCGCATATATATAACTGTATAATAGCGAAAAGTTTAGACAGAAAACAGAACGTTCCTAGTGGAACAATGAAAAGCCACAATTACCTGGTTCTGTGCCCTCTGTAACCGCGATTTCTTCGCTTCGCAGTTTCGCGTCGTGATGTGGTGGTATTGTCACATCGATATTGGGAACGGATTCAGTGAAATCTGGGATCACAGTCCAAGCGACTCCGCCTGGTGCTTTTATTCGATCAATAATGTGTTCGACTTTACAAAAGGAAAGCAGGTAGAAAGATTGGTTTCATTTGAGTTCCTCAGGTTAACGACAGTTCTTCAGACTGATGAACCAATGCTGATTAATCTGGTATACAATGTGAATTTCACTTGTTAAATATATATATATATATATATATAGTGTGTGTGTGTGTGTGTGAGAGAGAGAGAGAGAGAGAGAGAGAGAGAGTTATGAAGTCCGGATTTTGAAGGTAGTGAGAGAGAGAGAATATTCAACCTGGTTTCCATCTCACTTACTTATTTGTGTGATGTTGAATATTATCCGTGAAAAACTCTTCGATAGTATTATTTAAATAAACACAGGTGACTGTTTTATAGCATCTTCTCAATTTCACTGCAATCATAGTCTACTGAATATCAACATTTTCTCTTCGATTCTACTTTCAACCTTCCTGTCTTTCCTGTACTGCTTCATTCAAATAGTCAATAAATACACAGTGATACAACCAATTTTCAAGAAAAGGACTGCGATCAATTATAGGCTACCGAAGGGAACATAAATTGGTAAGCTAACAAGTGCTAACTTCATTAGGCTATGAACGGTCGGATAGACAACAAAGCGGAGCAAACATATGGGATTTGAGGGTTATATGAATTGCGAGGGTACAGTTCATTTGCAGAAGGATTCTTAATAGGGAACTTTAAGCGCTAGCTAGCTTCGGTTATACTTCGACGTCTGACGCCTTTAAGAGAGACCAACATCCCTGAACAGCAAGCCGGATTCCGGCCTGGCCGTCGATGTATTGATCAGATTTTTACGTTGCGTCAGATCCTTGAACTGCGTCATTCTCACCTTCGGCCAACGATCGCAGTGTGCCTTGACCTGAAAGGAATCTCCGACTCAGTTGACCGCGAAGCTCTGATGGGCTGCCTTCTTCGAAAAGGAATGCCCCAGAAGTACGTGAACCTACTTAGGTCAATGTACTCACATACCTCCGGTCGTGTAAGGGTCTACAGCGAACTAAGTAGGCCGTTCGTCACCAGCAGCGGCGTTCGTCCAGGGTGCCCTCTTTCGCCGTTCCTGTTCCATTTCGTCGTAGACGAAATACTGGAGAGCGCACTAAGGGGACTCCAAAACATAGGTATTGAATGGACAGCTGAAGAAAAGCTGTGCGATNCGTTCGAATGTATGGAGGACGAGCAAAAAGCACATGATAGATTAACAATTGCAATTGTCACATTCGGTATATGCTTTGCACCTTCAAACTGCCAAGTGCTGCTGCAGGACTGGGTTTCGTCTACTCTGATACTAAACGGCCAGGATTTAGTTGTGGTGGATTACTTTTCCTACTTAAATAGCTGCGTGACCAATGACGGTAGTGCAGCAAAGGAGGTAACCGTCCGCATTTCCAAGACTCGAGCAGCATACGCAGGACTAAAACACCTTTTGCGTAGACGCGACGTTTCACTGAAGTTGAAAGGTCGTGTATACTGTGCTAGCGTTTTGTTCAGTCCTGCTTTATGATTGTGAGACCCTGAATTTGCGAGTAGAAGATATCCGTCGACTAGAAGTTCGTGCTTTATGGCTGTGAGACCCTGAATTTGCGAGTAGAAGATATCCGTCGACTAGAAGTTTTCGATTATCGGGTTTACGCAGTTTAGCCCATGTTGGATGGAGCGAACGGGTTAGTAAAGTGGAGGCAAGCCGTGTGTTTTTGGAAGTCTGTCAGGCATAAACCTCCTAGCACATCGAATTCAGATTAGTAAGCTGGGGCACGTATTGCGTATGCCCAGCCATCGTCTGCCGCACCGCGCTTTATTCGCTGTAGCTAATCCGGGCTGAAGGAAACCAAGAGGAGATCAACAGATAACGTGGAGACGAGGCACGAAGAAATGCACAGAGCCATTAGGTAGAGTAGGTGTCTCTCGCCTTCCAGGTTGCGGTCCGAAAGACTCCATAACTGGTTGGTTGGAGACATTGAAAGATATAGCAGCGAACAGGCAGCAGTGGCATTACCGTATTTTTCGGACTATAAGGCGCACAGAAAATCCCTATATTTGTAAAAAAAATCGGCAATGCGCCTTATATTCCGGTG